TACACCCTTGTATATAAAATATAATAAATGTTATTATTTAATTCACATATATTATTTAAGCCATTTAAAATTTTTTTCAGGTCACTTTAATCTTGCCTTATTGAATTATAATAATTACTATGTGCTAGAAATTTTTTGTCAATAGAGTCTACGTTTTATTTCTCAACATTATATTTTCAGCATGCATAAATGAAAATATTATGACAAGAATTTTTTTTAATGAAAAACTTAGAAAGTGAAAAAATCATGAGGCTTAGCCTAAATGAAAAATATATTATATATTAGAAGATACAATAATCATTCCATCCTTATATTTGAAGAAGAATATGTCTATTTGAGAATAAGATGCTTGATTTCTCTTATGGGATTTAACAAAAATCAAGTGTTCAAAGATAGACAACACCTAACAACAGAGCTTGATTTTTCTAATAGAGATTATAGAAAGTATTTGTCTACATGCAAAAAGCTATACCCAATAGTATAGCTATATATTGTCAGAATTCTGAAGATGAAAGCAATTACTAACAGTGATCACCGATGGTGACGGTGGTTATCGGTGATAATAGTCGGTGTTAGTCGTCGGCGGTGATAGCTTGAAAATGCAAGAGAGCTCTCTAGTTCTCTCATTTCTTCTTCCTTTATGTGGAGAATGGAACTCAATTAATAGATTTGTTTGGATGAACATTTTGATAATTTGAGCTAAAACTAAAAACACTTCATCGTACGATCAATATCGATTCTATTGATTATGAAACATTTGTTCAGCATTTGAGTGTCTTAATGATGTCGTAATTGAGTGATATTGGGCTCTTTAGTTTCATCTCGTCGAGCCGCTCAATTCTACTGCAAGCATGTCAAAATTTGAGTTTAGATTATAATAATTTTAATTTCAAAAGTTTCTAATTCAAATATTTTCTCGAGATTCATCCAGATCATATGATTTTTCAGGAGTCATATCAATAACATATCAGATTCGATCAATCTTCCATGTAAATTTTTATAAAATTGGAAAGTGAAATAAAAATGAAATAAACTTCATCAAGTTGAAATGTACTTCATTTTATATCATACATCTTATTTCAAATTTGATATTAATATATTTAAAAACAATTATCTAAAATTCTTTGTGGTATCCCGTTGTTTTCTTACGTGATAACTTGTGAACTATTAATTCAAATAAGGTTTCATATCATAATCAATCCAACAACTTTAAAAAATTAAAATAACTAATTAGTAATTAATCACCAAAATATCCGAGTATTTACTAGAATCAACTTACGGACATTATCTTGTTAAAATCAGACGCGGTTATCGTACCTCGCATCGGTTGACAATCATGATCGGTCTACATCGCATTTGACAGAAGAGCTGGTGACGCTTATCCACCCCCAAGAAAGCAACTAACGCCACCTCATACGAATAACTGCAGCAGCTTCACCGGACCCACACAAGGCATGCAGGTGCAAAACTTGGTGAACGTAATGAAGAAATTGCATAAAGATTATTGTAAAGTAGGCTCCCCATTAAGTAAACATCTTCTGGAATGCTTGTGCGTACCTAACCGATTTGGGCGTACTTGGATTTCGTAGAGGATTTTTCCGCGTCCTCCTAGCGGCAAATTATTACATCATGTTACCGGACGTGGAGAATAGATTCGGACATTCAATAAAAATTTATCACGTCATTTGAAATTTTGACTGCGCTTTTGAACATTTTGATAATTTGAACTAAAATCGAAAACACTTCATCATACAATCAATATCAATTCTATTGATTATGAAACATTTGTTCAGCATTTGAGTGCCTTAATGATGTCGTAAATGAGTGATATTGGACTCTTTAGATTCATCTCGCCGAGCCGCTCAATTCTACTGCAAGCATGTTAAAATTTGAGTTTAGATTATCATAATTTTAATTTCAAAAGTTTCTAATTCAAATATTTTCTCGAGATTCATCCAGATCATATGATTTTTCAGGAGTCATATCAATATCATATCAGATTCGATCAATCTTCCATGTAAATTTTTATAAAATTGGAAAGTGAAATAAAAATGAAATAAACTTCATCAAGTTGAAATGTACTTCATTTTATATCATACATCTTATTTCAAATTTGATATTAATATATTTAAAAACAATTATCTAAAATTCTTTGTGGTATCCCGTTGTTTTCTTACGTGATAACTTGTGAACTATTAATTCAAATAAGGTTTCATATCATAATCAATCCAACAACTTTAAAAAATTAAAATAACTAATTAGTAATTAATCACCAAAATATCCGAGTATTTACTAGAATCAACTTACGGACATTATCTTGTTAAAATCAGACGCGGTTATCGTACCTCGCATCGGTTGACAATCATGATCGGTCTACATCGCATTTGACAGAAGAGCTGGTGACGCTTATCCACCCCCAAGAAAGCAACTAACGCCACCTCATACGAATAACTGCAGCAGCTTCACCGGACCCACACAAGGCATGCAGGTGCAAAACTTGGTGAACGTAATGAAGAAATTGCATAAAGATTATTGTAAAGTAGGCTCCCCATTAAGTAAACATCTTCTGGAATGCTTGTGCGTACCTAACCGATTTGGGCGTACTTGGATTTCGTAGAGGATTTTTCCGCGTCCTCCTAGCGGCAAATTATTACATCATGTTACCGGACGTGGAGAATAGATTCGGACATTCAATAAAAATTTATCACGTCATTTGAAATTTTGACTGCGCTTTTGACTTGCGCTTTTGACTGCACTTTATCTATGCTTTTGACGCGCTTAATTTAAAATAATATTTTATTAATATTCCGACCTATCTTCGCGTCTTGTGACCGGACTCCCTTATGAGTCCGCAAGCTAAGTTCCTGTCCATGTCCGCACGAAAAATTATTCTGTGCGGACAGCATACTGAGGGTACCGAGTGGTACCGCAGTCGGTACCTAGCACAGTATCGAGCGCCCAGAGATGTGGCACTTTTTTTATTGGTCTCAGGACACATTTGGTGTCCGCACGCAATAATCACTCTGTATGCACACCCATATATCGTTTGTCATCTGCACACCCATCTATCATCTAGTAGTTTAGAGCTATTATTCTGTGTGGATACCAGACGGGAGAACCGCCCGGTTAAGTGCTGGATACCCTACAATACCGAGGGGTACCGAGTTGAATATCCATCAATGAGGTGATATGGTGCATTTTTATTTGTCTCCGGACATAATAATAAATCAGTCGTTCGCATGCCACGCTCCCTTCCGCAAGCCCAACTACTGTTTGCACGCCCAGCCCTTGTCCCGCCATCCACACACACATGTCTCGTATGCAGGTCCAACTCCCGTGGAAGGATTTCGCTCTTGTCCGCATGCCCAACAGTCGATTCAAAGCACGTTCAGTTACGACTCATTTCGCAAGCCCCGTTGAGCCGTATTGGAAGATGTTCAAGAACTTTTGGAATAAATGAAAATTTATGAAACAGAGCGTGATGATGATCTGAATCCTTAAGGCATTTTATATATCCATTATCATGTTCTCAGCTTAGAGGATCAAATGCTCTACCATGAGGTGAAATAAGAAGACGAAGAAACTTCAAAGATCTTAGAAAATCATTTAAGTTATTTTAGAGAAATACTTGTGCATTGTCCCTCAATGTAAGACATAAGAAATTGCAAAATTTACGTCAAATAATCATTCAGGACATGTTCAACTTATAAATTTAGAACCATTGAACCCTAAGTTTTATTTAAAATTTTAGGTACTTAAACAAGAACGGTACACAAGCGGGAGGTTACTTTAATTTGCCACTAACACTCAATTAAAATATATATAGGAAAAAATGGAGAGAAAAATTGCAAGAGAAATCTAATTTAAATTTGATTTTGATAAATTTAAAAATATTTATTTTTTAGGATATTTAAGTCAATTAAGACAAATTTACGTACTCATCATATACGCAAGACTCGAACACAATGTCTCTTGTTTGGTAGCCAAAGCTCTCAATTGGGGGTGTAAATGAGTCAAGTCAAGTGGAATAGTGGCCTATATCGAACTCGGCTCATCGGTCATAAAATCTGTTCAAACTTGAGCTCGTCTCATTGTAAATGAGCTCAAACCAACTCACGAGCCTCACTATGATTTTTGTTAATATTATTATTTATCATTATGATATGCTAAAAAATAGATAATAATAAAGAGAATTTTATGTCTTAGATTTACATGAAAATTATGTACACACATAAATAATCAAACAAATGAGAGATTAGAGTTTTTATATAAAGAAATATTGGAATTGAAAAAACCACAATGCCTAATCTCATGCAAATAATCTACCATGTATGTAAATTATATAATTATGCTATTCCTCACAATTGAAGAAGGCGGGTTTACAAAATTGGAAGTACTTGGTTTGATTGTAGTATAGACTGCAAGATAAATTGTGAAAGGTGATGATAATGTATAAAAGTGCGTGATTGAATGATGATAATTACATAACAACAATCACACGATGATAATTGAGCGATGATGATTAGGAGATGACAACAAACAACGGTGTTAAGAGATGGTGGTCAGAAAATGATAGTTGAAGAACAACAATAGAATAATGATGTTCAGATGATGATAGACCGATGATAACAATTACTTGTGACGATCATTGGCGTTGAATTTCATATAAAGCTTTAGAGTTCTTCAAACCTACAAGCTTACTATAATTTAAGTCAATGCCCTTTTTATGTAAATAATGATAGCCTATTTATAACTTTCAAGCAATATTAGTCATTTAATTTTAGAATAATATAAAGTTGATAAGTATTTTCCCTCATATAATCATATAATATAAAAAATAATAATAGTCTCGAAACGATAACTAACAATTATGAATTGCTCAATAATTTATAAAATTTAATTGATATAAAATTGCAATTAATTTTCTCTCTCAATATATATAATAATAATATATTAACAATATATTTTTCTCTCTTTATTTATTTATATATATACCCCACCTTGAAAGCATGAGCAAGCCCGGACTCCCTTGCCCTGCTCGTCCTCCCGGACATCCTGTGTCGTACCATGGATTACTTTTATCCTTTTCCTCTACTCCCTCCACTTCTCCAATGACCAACCGCCGGACATGGAGGAGCCGCAGGTGCACGCGGTGCTCAATTTCCTCACCCGCCACGGATTCTCAACCGTCGCCTCCGCCCTACGAGACGACGCCCTCTCCCGAGGCCTCGACCTAACCTCCGATGACGACTCCATCCCTACGCTTCCTCCATTACGAACATCCCCCATGCTCGTTGGAGTCTCTGGATCCACATCATTGTCCTCCTCGGGCGATTTCGTTAGCATTGGGTCATCTCCCTCCGGTACGATTCAGTTCCTTTTCCGATTTTTGTTAAACCCTAGAGAAACCACTGACTAATTCTGTGTGAAAACTAGAGCGGCGGAATCCGTACGGAATCAGCTCACCGGAATCATCGGCGAGGAACTCGGAATTTGGGACGGCGCGGGAGTATAATGAACCTACTCTGTTTGGTGAGGCCGGTTGGTACGGCGATCAGCTTGGGGGGTATTTTAACGATCCCTACCGGTTACCGGCGAGCCAGAGTGAGGACAAGTTTGTGATGTCGATTGAGGCGGAGGAGAGGTTTCTGAAGCAGGAGGACAATAATTTTGATTATATAGTAAAGCAGGAGAGTTGTTTGGCTTTGGATTCGGGTGGTCTTTATGGGTGCTCGTTTCCGCTATGTGATTGCTGTAAAGGGAATGGTGGGGAAAGAGCTAGCAGTTGGAAGCCGAGTTCTTCAATATATGGAAGGTATCACATAATGGACGATGAGACAGAAAGGTTGGATGATTGCGATGAGGATGAGTCTCAGTTGAAGTTGGTTGACGAGTGCACGGGGGCGATTACATGGAGACGTGAGTCGGGTGACTTGGATCAAGGGAACGAGGATAAGGCTTTGGAACCTATATCTGGGGAGAAGAGCATTCAGAAGCTTAGTGTTGATGAAATCAGTAACTTTGTTTTTACCGGTGAGTTCTTCTGATAGGTAAATCTCCTGTTAAGTAGAAAGTTTTGACAACCATATTTGTTTCTCGAGCAACTTTAAGTTTGTTCTCTCACTTTTCATCAGTTTTCATTCTGGTGGAATTTCATAAAGTTTTAGAGTAATTTTTGACACGTTAACACATGCTTGGTGAAGTTTCGATAAAGAAAAAAATGGTAGTTATGAAAGGATTCTTGATCTAGTGGTTAGAGAAAATATTGTTTATAAAAGGTTATGAGTTCGAGCCTCATGCTTTGTCATGTATTGCTCATCATTAAAAAAAAGCACTCTACAAAATTTCAATAGATTTTTGAACATGCAGCATTTTTCATCCTTTGCCTTTTCCAGTTCTCATTTAAATCATCTTATAAAATATAATAAGAAAATTTCATGAAAAAAAATCTGTATAATCTGGACTTTTTGCTGCAAATTTAATTAAAAATCATGTCAGGATATCTTGATATTGATTGTGTCAAGTCCACGAAGCAAAGTACTTGCCACTCACGTGAGCCTTCAAATCTTCAAATTTGCTTTGAGATTAGTGTTATATATATGAAAATTTTATATTGCATTAATTTCAAAGTAAATCCAATGATTTGAAACCCACATGATAAAAAACTACATTAGAATATTTGAGCAATTTTTCTTTTTCAATATAATCATCATAATGCATTTAAGATTAAAAGGGAATATTTTTTGTTTTAGGCTTAAATGAGAAGTTTTGTGCTGTGACAAGAGAGTCGTGGATGGACATCCTTTTCAAAACAACAAGATTGGGAAAAATATAAATGAACGATGATGCCCATTAATATGGTATTGTTGTAGAGTAATATGGATGATTATTTTGTAAAATTATTGTCAAGTTTGCTTTCTGGCATGAACTTGTTTGGTAAATATTGCTAGCAAAGTAATTTGAATTGATTAGATGTCAAAATATACATGCTTGTTGAATAATTAATAATTATCAAATACATTTATCTAGATGTAAATGATCTAAGTAAGATTTATATGCATTCATAAAATAAATAGAAATTGAAATGCTAATTAATTATTAATTATAAAAAGATTTATGTTGTTGTAATAGATATTTATTTAATGAAAATAAAAAATTACTAAAGTTCATACATGAAATTGAAAAGGATTAATAAGGGCGTTTATGAAATTGAAAAAAATAATATTCAGGGGTATTAATTAAGCTTTGTCAAAGATAAATTTTGTCTTAAGAAAATCCAAAGCTCATTTTAATAAAAGTGTGCATTAAGCATGGCTGATTAGCTTTTGATAAGGATGCTCAGGTGGATGAGTGATTTCACTCTAAGAGATAGAATGCGAAACAAGTATGTATGTGAAAAGGTTGGAGTTGCTCCAATGGCAGATGAGATTAGATAGAGTCACCTTAAATGTTTTGGGCATATAAAACATTGGCCTTTCGATGACTCGGTTAGAAGAGGTGTATTGTATTTGGCATATGTTAAGAAAGGTAGATGTAGACCTAAAAAGACTTTATTATAAAATATTAGAAATGACATTTTTGTATTAAATTTAAATGAGAATTTGACTCTTAACAGGACAAACTAGGAAAAAGGATTCATGTTGCCGGCCCCATGTAGTGGGATAAAGGCTTGATGTTCTTGTTGTTGTATAATTGAATTTTCCACACAACAGTTGGCATGGCCTTCATAACATGTTGTAAAACTAATTATTTTGTCTTAAAAAGGTGTTGTTAAATTGGACTTTTATCATCTTGATATTTACACTTCTATGCACTTGATCTTCTTAATTAAAAGAAGATTTTATTTTTGTTTCTTTTTGATGGATTGTTTAAGATGTGGCCTAATTTAATTCCCATGTTTTAAGTATGAGTTTGTCTTTTATTTTGTAGATGTTGAAGGGGCATAATTAAAGGAGTCTGAAGAACTAGTCAGGATGACTCTAGAAGATATTAGGATCTATCTAGGTAGTTTGGTCAAATAGATATATTGGATTTATGGTGATATAAGTGTAGTTTACTGATAAGCAAAATAATTAAATACAAGGAGTTATGATATATTGGATTTAGGGTAATATAAGTGTAGTTTACTGATAAGCAAAAGAATTAAATACGAGGGGTTACTAACAAATAAAAAATTAGTCGACACCTTCTCTTCCTTTCTTCCCCGATTCTCCTTTAGCTTAATTTGAGTAAGAGATGTTTGTCTCTCATTCTTCCCCTAGGATTCTACTTATAGATATTAGAATTTGGATGAATCCAACGGCAATGCCTCTTTTGATCGAGCTTCCTGTAACCTTCTGATTGACTAAAGCCTTGACATCTCAACGCAATTATTTACTCTTATTATTTTGTATCTTTGGATTGAACTGAGATGAGTTTTTCCCTCTCTTGTTAAGTTAATATTTCGTGCCTTTTGCCCATTAATCAAGAATTGAGACTAAATTGATGGGTTGCTCAAGCGTATTTTGCTCATGATCCTAAGGTTGGAATGGGGCAACCTGAGCTTGGTCATCATTGTTTCCCCAATCTTAACTTGCCTTACACGAGTTGTCATAGGGTACATAATTAAGAATTTTCAAAGAAATTGCATTGTGTGTGATAGGAAATACTTGAGTTCGCAAGTAACCTAACCAAAATCGGCGAACAAACAGCAGCCAAATGGCTGTCCACAGCAGGAAAACAGCAGAAATCTGCTGTTTACAGCAGAAAAACAGCACTTGTCCGGGAAAATCTGAGAGAAAACTCAAAGGAAAGCTTGCATTTCACTAGTAGATGAATAAAAACAGCAAGATACAATTGATCCTCAATTCGAGAGGAGGATCGATCTCTCCCAAATCTCTAGACGCCACTAGAGCCCAAAGAAAACCTAGATCTAAGAGATCTCAAATTTCAGCCAAATTCAAGATGATCAAACCCTAGGAAAATCTACTATTTAATGCATACAAATCAAAAGGAAATCCCTAAACAGTCCCTACATTCAAATTTCCCTCTCAAAACCCTAAAAAACGCTTCCTAAAAAGCTCTACTTGAGCGGACGGGCCGCCCGATCTCCGCAGGAGGCGGAGATCTCGCTGTTTTTGCGAACTGCCGGTCCCGCGTGGACCGGCTGGACCGGTCCAGTGGACTGGTCTAACAGTGTGATAGATGATTTTTAAGAAATTCATACTTTACTATATTTTCACCATTAATTTCTTTTTATCCATTTTCAACTCTTTTTAGTAGAAACTTGTCATCAGTTTCGTCTTTGAAAATTGCACCAAAACACATTTGACTGGTGGTTTCCTAAGAAATAAGCAATGGAGTTTAACCAACAAGTAGCATGATAGCATCCTTTAAAGTTGTAGAGCAACCCGTAGCTTTTCCAGCTACCAAGGCTCCTAATATTTCCCTTTCTTGAAATTGTTGAACCCTTAGGAGCTTACATCAAATGGTTTGTTATATTCTATATAATATGAATTGGTGGTTCCTGGAATCGATATTAGTGTCTTGATCAACTAAACAACCAAATATGTCATCAAAACCAAGACTAAGCTTTCCCCAGCAAATTCATTTTCAATCCATTTCATTTGCAACTTTTTTAATATTTCTACTCTTGAAGTTTTTGTATTCTTGGAGTTTTGAGTCCATTTGACCTCGACTCATTTATCCAATTCCTAGTTTGTCAATATGAAACTAATGGCCCATATTCGTAATGCTGTCAAATTTTTCTTGCACAATTAACTATACACCTTTAGGGTTATAAGGAATCAATCGAAGGCATTGTGATTATTATTTCTTTTATTCCAAATTTTTAGATTTGGCTTTATGAATTTTCCTTCATCCGCAATCATGCTTGATTAGATTGGAGCCAACTCCTTTTTTATTAATATTAGCTTATCAAAATTATTAGTTCTATTTAGTCCATACTTGCTCTAATTGCTCCAACTCCGTCTTTATTATTATAAGCTTTTTTTTTTTAAGCACCAAATCTAATGTTTCTTAAACATTATTGTGCTCTTATTTACTGGTTGTTGATAATTTTTTAACCATCTAAACATTTATGCTTTGAATAACTTTCTCCAAGGCTTAAATGGAGTATTTTCTTTGCCATAGCCGGCTCCCCAATGGATGCAATAGGCATTCATGAGCTGGTCATTTAGGGATTTTAAAACTAAATAATCATCCGTGGGAGTAAAGTTTTGATAAAATTTATTATTTCTGAAGGAAAAATTCATCATCTTAAAGGAGTATTATTAAATTTTTATTGATATTAATTTTGAACATTGTCATTTAATCCTTCATTCAATTTTGATTAACTGACTTTATCTTTTTCATACTTGAGAATGAGAAACCACAAGTTCTAGATTCTGAAGTGCTAACTATTGAGTAACAACTTAAATATATCATATTCTAAAGAGCTTATTGGGAAAAGGTTAAATATTCATTGCAACTTAGCTATCAACTTCTCAAGATTAAGATTCATATTAAGGGTCTATTTGAGACAGCTTTCTGATTGTTTTGCTTTTCAGAAAAAAACCATAATTTTGTTTGGATGCTTCTTTCTTGCTGTTTTTTAAAAAAATTTAGGGAGGAAAGCTATTTTCAGTAACCATAGTATCAAAGTATTTTTCACTATATTAACTTCACAATCAACTTTATAAAACTTTGTAGCCATTCCAGACAGACCATGAGTCACACGGTAACTTCAATATGAAATAATTCTTTATTAGTTAAGGTCCTTATTAATACTCTCAATGTAGAGTATATAAGACTCTTTGTTATTGATTTGACCTCCACACATTTGCCAAATCAGAGCGAGCAAAGGGACTTAAATCGACGACTTGAGTGACAATTGGCTCACTTGAATGGTCAAATGACCTATGATTGCCAAACGGACTGCGCCACCACCGCTGCGATCGGAGCGTTGAATTTGTCTTAGAGGACTACCTCGAAGTTGAATCGAGCTAGAATGGTCAAAATCGACGTCTGACACCCGAAATGGACGTGCGACACTG